ACCAGGAGGAGGATGAGGAGGAGCCTGAGGAGGAGGAGGAAGAGGAGGACCAGGAGGAGGAGGAGGAGGAAGAGGAGGAGGAGGAGGAGGATCAGGAAGAGGAGGAGGACCAGTGTAAACCAAGGCCCATCAGCGATGTTGCAGTACACCCTCCCTTCGAGATCCTTCTTCATAGGCCCCTACGGGCGTTCATTTCCACTGAGGGAAGTTCCCCGTTGGAAGGCAACCGCGTGAAACTCCTGAATCGTGCCACAGCGAATCAACGTAGTTGTTGCGCCCTGAAACTTTCACACTTCTCCAAAGCACCATCTATTGGATGTTATCCTTGCGAAACGATGCATCTCCTGCAAATATGTGATCGCATCGCTCATTCCGCCAGCCCGTTCCGCATCACTGTGGCTGCCCAGAGGGATCGGTAGGGCAGGCAGGAATGCCCTCGAGGAGATCTTTGGAGATGTGGCTTCCACCCTGTCGAAGTGAGCCGATCGACTGCCCCAGAGGGCGCCAAGATGGCTCAACAGAGCTCCAGAAGAGTTTCGAGACGTACCTGAGATGTTGGTCAGAGTCCTCATGGATGCTTCCTGGGGTCTCTCAGGAGGGTTCTCGCGAGCCTCTGGGGAGTAGTTTTGAGGCTACTTGAGAACCTCTTGGGGGCTTCTTGGGGACTTCTTGGGACTTCCTGGGGTCCATTGGGGCCCTTGTTCTTCTCCCTGGCTGCGCGCCCAGCGCTGGAGGAACTGACCAGAGACCAGGAGCTGGACCTGAGAGCCTTCTACCTGGACGACGGCTTCTTGGCGGGCACAGCGGAGGCGGCGGCGCGGGCGCTCGTTGCCATGCATCTCTGCTGCCCAGCGCTTGGGCTCGCACTCGACTTGGGTAAATGCGAGTTCGTGGTCCCAGGCGGGCAGGCGCCGGACGGTCTGGATCGACTCTCCCCTGCGCCGCTGCTGACAGACCCTGGCGCTGGCGCCAGCCGAGTAGTCCTGAGAGGCAGCTTCCGGCTTCTCGGGGCACCGATAGGGGCCCAGGCCTTCGCGGAGGCCTTCACGGAGCGGCGCGCTGTCAAGGCGGGGCCGACCCTGGCGGCGCTGGAAACCCTGCACCCGCAGGTGGCCCTCCTACTGTCGCGGCACTGCGCGAGCCTTGGCAAGCTCGTCTACAGCGCGCGCACCGCGCCGCCAGAGCTGCAGGCTGGCGCCCTCTGAGGCTATGACGCCGCGCAGCGGGGCGCGCTCGGGCGTCTCCTGGCCGCGGACTCGACGGGCGCCCAATGGCGCTGGGCCTCCCGAGGGCTGGCGCGCGCCAGCCTGGGCCCGCGGCGGCTATGGAGGCGCGCGCGCGGCGGGCGCGTGCCTGGCCAGCCTCGGCGCCGCGCGGCATCTGCGTTCGGGGCTGGGCTCGGCGTGCAACTGGGCGCCAGAGGGTGCAGGCGCGCGGGCTGGAGCTTCTCTCTCTCTCTCTTTTTCTCTCTCTCTCTCTCTCTCTATTCTCTCGCTCTCTCTCTCTCTCGCTCTTTTTTTTTTTTTTCTCTCTCTCTATCTCTCTCTTATTTTTTTTTCTTTCTCTCTCTCTCTCTCTCTCTCTGCGCGCGACGCGCAGCTCCCGCAGTCTGCCAGCTTGCGCCCTGGCGCTGTGGAGACGGCGAGGCAGATGGACCTCTCTGATGCGCTCGACGACCACTGCCACCAGCTCTTCTTCGAGAACCTCGGGGCAGCCGAGCGCGCGGACATCCTGTCCGAGATGCTCACCAGCGCGTCGGGCTTCCTGGATGTCGCGCCCAGCGAGAAGCTGGGGCTGCTCTTCGAGCCGGGAGAGTTCCTCGCCGCGGGGGTGGCTTCTGCACCAGGTCTATGACACGGGCCATTTCTGCTTTTGATGCGATGAGCCGCGCGACCGGCACGGGCGCCGCGCCGGCCTCTGCGCTGGCGCGGGAGACCGGGCGTGCCGGCGCAGCGCCGCGCACAACCTGGCAGGGCGATTCGCCGCCGCAGCCGGCTGCAACCCAGAGCTGGAGAGGCCGGGGCTCTTGCCACCTCGCCCAGACGACGACCGCGCCTTCGGCCGTCGCCCCGCCGACGTGCGCACCCCGAGCTGGCACCTAGGCACGCCTGCCGCCTTCGACTTCGCGGTTTCCTCGCCGCGCCGGCAGGCTGCCAGGGGGCTGGCCGCCCAAGGGGTCGGATGCGCCGCGAGCGCGAGGTGGTCAAGCGCACCCGCCTCGACACGGAAGTCCGCTGCAGGCAACAGGGTTTTTTTTCATCTCTTTGGTCGCAGAGCCTGCGGGCGGCCGGGGCCCGACGGGGGCCGAGGCGCTCCGCCGCCTAGCACGGGCCAGCGAGGCGCGCCTGGGCCAGGAGCCGGGCGCAGGAGCGACGCGTCTCTTCCAGCAGCTGTCGGCGGCTATTCGGAGGGTTTCCGCCCGCGCCGTCCTCTGGCGGCACCTGGAGGAAGTCCCTGCTGGGGGGGCGGCCGCAGCTGCCCGGGACGTCCTCGCCGAAGAAGACGAGGGTTTCTTGTGGGCGCGTTTTTTCTTCCCTCTTCCCCCCTCCGCCTCTTGGGGAGGCGTTTTGTTCTTTGGCGCGCATTTGCAGTGTGATTCACCCTCCCGCCCGTGTTCGGGCAGCTAGCTTGCGCTTTTCGTTTTTCCGCCTATAACGATCCTTTCTGCTGTCGTCTTCTTCGTTCGTCGTCATCGGCGTCCGTCGTTCGTCTCTTCCGCTCCTCTCGCCTTTCTCGCTCCTCCTCCGCCGTTGGCGTCTCCTCCGCCCCTCAGGCGGATGTGCCTTGCGGCGGGTTGGTGGGCGGTGCGCTCCCTGCTCCCGCTTGCGGAAGTTGGGGCGCTCGCCGATCGCCTCTCGTTGCTTGGCGTGGTCCCTTGTTCGCCCTCGTGCCCCTCGGGGCCTCCCCCGTCGTTGCTGTTTGCTGATGGATCGACACGCGCCAGATCGGCACTGATCGCGTCATAAGCTGGGTCTGGCCTGCTCGTTGGGGGCATCACAAGCTTGCAACATGAACGTGCGTAGCGCGTAGCGCTAGGGCGAGACCCACATTTTGAAAACGGGCCGCCCTCCTTAGTGCACGCGACGTTATGGCGAGGGCCTCTTTTTGGAAGCGGGCCGCCCTCCATTTGTGAACGCGTTGCCAATTCTTCAACTTCAGAATCATCCGTGGTGGAGATCTCATGCGAAACGCCCGTGCTGCCCTTCCGACCAGCCTCGGGGTGCGATGGGAAGGGGCCACTTGAGAAGGAGACGGAATGGAGGAGGAGGAGGAGGAGGAGGAGGAGGAGGAGGAGAAGGAGGCGAGAGGAAAGAGGAGGAGGAGGAGGAGGAGGAGGAGGAGGAGGGGGAGGAGGGGGGGGAGGAGGAGGACCAGTGGGAACCCAAGAATCATCAACGACGTTGGAATTAACCCTCGCTCCAAGCTCCCTCTTCATAGGCCCCTACAACGGGTCATTTCCATTGAAGGAACTGCATCGCTGGAAAGCAGCAGTTTGAAGATCCTGAAGCGTGTCGAAACATTGTCTTCGGGATTTTAACGCCACGTATCAACCTGACTGCTGCGTCTTGACGATCCGGAATCGTGCCAAAAAGTCGTTTTGGGGGGGATTTCAACACAGCGAATCACAATATCTGTTTTGCCCGCATAGTCCTGAATCCTTCCAAAACGCCATTTCTGGTACGTTGATCATGGGAGCCCGTGATTTGTTTACAAAAGTTTAAAACAGATGTGCGCGGTGCTGAGGCGAGAGCCACATTTTGAAACGGAGACGCCCTCAATCCTTGAAAATCTTGCAAGTTTTTTTTTAACAAGAAAACGCATGTGCGCGGCGCTAAGGCGAGAGCCACATGTTGAAAACCACCCGCCCTCAATCCGTGAAGCCCTTGCAAATTTTTAGAACGGATGTGCGCGGCGCTGAGGCGAGAGCCACATTTTGAAAATGACCCGCCCTCAATCCGTGAAACATGTGCGTATTTTAACAGCGGATGCGCGCGGCGCGGAGGCGAGGGCCACATTTTGAAAATCACCCGCCCTCAATCCGTGAAACTCTTGCAAATTCTAAAAACGAATTTGCGCGGCGCTAACGCGAGAGCCGCATGTTGAAAACGACCCGCCTTCCATTTGTGAAACTGTTGACACTTGTTAAGCTTCAGAATCATGAGTGGTGAAGAAGTCTCAGGCGAAACGCCCGGCCCGCCCTAAAAACTGGCCTCGGGGTGCGACAGGGAGGAATTATCTATAAGGTGAAGAAATGGAGGAGGAGGGGGAAGAGAAGGAGGAGGAGGACGACGACGACGAGCAGGAGGGGCCGAATGAAGCCCCGAGAGCTTGAAGGCCCTTCCAAGAGGAAGGCCCTCCCCGCCGATTGAGTACTCCCCCCCCCCTCGCTTCGTCAGACGGCCGGTCGCCATCAGCGCTACGCCCTGGTGCGCGCTGCAGGCGGCCCTCTGCGTCCTGCCAATCCCCTGGAGGGGGCGGCGCCGGCCAGCAGCCGCGCCAGGCCGTCTCCTCTGGCACCACCCTCTCACGAGAGCGATTAAATGCGTTCCGCGCGGCCTCGCCCCGGGACGCCTTTTCCATATTTCGTGCGCTCCCTTAGTCCAGTTTTGCAGCTCCTCCTCCTCCTCCTCCTCCTCGTCTTCCTCCTCCTCCTCCTCCTCCTCCTCCTCGTCTTCCTCCTCCTCCGCCTCCTCCCCCGCCTCCTCCTCCTCCTCCTCCTCCTCCTCCTCCTCCTCCTCCTCCTCCCCCTCCTCCTCCTCGTTTTAGCCGTTCTGGCACAAGTCTTTGTGCTTGATACTGCTAACTTCAGAACTACACTGTGCAGTATCGAGTCAATCTGGCTTTGTCTGTTCGTTCTAACCAGCTTTCAGTCTCTCGTGGGCCTTCATGGGGAAAACCATGGCTGGGTCTACAATCCGTGGGTTAAGTTTGGCACGAAATGGTCTCGCAGCGCTCATCAAGGTGATTGGGACAGCTCTCAGTGGTACTCTGTGGGCGCAAGCGGGGCTGTCAAGTGTCAAACTCCTACGTGTGAATGTAAGCGTAACACGAAGGGGGCCCTGTTCTGCAAACGTTGCGGGTGGGCCCTTTCTCAGTCTAGCGGGGACGTCGGAGATGAGCAAGCCTTGGAGGGGAGTGGAGGGCGCGCCGCTGCAGAGCGGCCCAAGCTTGGCCAGCGAGTGCCCGATCCCCCCGTGGAGGGAGGTGGCAGCAAGCCGCCCCTCGCACCAGGGACCGCGCCAGCCAACTCAGTGGAGAAGGCCGAGGAGTTGGCTCGCCTGTGCTCGGAGTGCGGAGACGTTGAGGGCGAGCGTCGCTACAAGTCGATCGTGGCGGCAAAGACTCCGAAGGCCGAGCCATTTTTCCTTTTTTTTTCACAGCGGTTGCAGCATATCGAGGCGAAGGTGCGCAAGCTTGAGTTGAGAAGCAATTCGAATCCGAATACAAAAAGTACCAGAAGTGGGTCGGAAATTTGGAGGACCAAGCACAGCTCGTGGCCGATTTGCGTGTAGAGTTGCAGATCGAGTCTGAGCTGTTTCAGTTTACGTTGGCTGAAGTTCGACCTGCTGAGCCTCCTGTCGTTCAGCAGCCTAAGGTCGAGTTACGTGATCTCGTGGATGGTTATTTTGATATTTCTGATCTGTTCGATGTGTGTACATTCTTGGGCAACAAAGACGAGTGCGAACTCAATTATGAGGAAGAACGAGAGTATACCAAGAGGCAGGCTGCTTGGGCAGATCTTTTCAAGCGGAGTGCGACTGAGCTGTTCGGCGACGCTCTGGGCAAGGCTGATGCGCTCCGCAATGAAGCAGCTGATCGAGCTAAAAGGTACGCCAAGAAACGCAATGATAATGATGGTCAAGGAGTGGCTGCGTCATCAGCTGCTGCAGCTTACACAGCTACACAGCCCAAGGCGCAGTCGAAGAAGGAGATTCTCCAAATATTCGACCAAGTCACTTTTGCCGCAGTTACAGAGTGATGCTGGTCTGGCTGCCCACATTGCTGCTCGCGCTCGGAGGCCTGGTCTTTGACAGGGGCTTGAACGGCGAGAGCAGCAACAGTGACGCACCATGGGGGGGGGCAGTGACCCGTAGCGCCCATACGAGTGGCCACGGGCTTTCGAGCGTCGGAGCGTGGCTGTCCCCCAAGAGCTCGGCAAGTTATATGGCCGTGGCGGCTCGCAGCCCCCTGCAGACCTGGACCCCATCGGCTCCAGTTCCTCTCTCAGGTGCCTCTTCGGTGCCTGAGATGCAGCAAGAGGTGGCTGGAGCTGAGTTGGGAGGTGTGAAGGGTGACGCAGGGGGGGGCCAGCCGCGGCAGAGGTTGAAGCCAGATGTGCACGTCTCGATGAATCTGATCATGATCCGATGGGCGATTTGGAAGATGATATGTAGCCTGTACGTGCAGCCCCTGACCCTGCTCATCAGTGCAAGGCTCGCGCTGCTACTAGTGGCTCGAGCAAGTTCTACGGTTTGTCTGTTTATACCAAGCCTTTCGCGTTTGATCAGAATGTGGAGCGTCGCAGTCCGACAGCGGTGCCATGGCCCTCTTCGTTCATGGCGGCTCCCGCAGGTTCGAAACGGCAAGGCAACGCTCAGTCGGTTTCATCGCTTTTGTTCGCGAACATCACGGAGTGGGGCCCGCGAGCTCATCGATCTGTGGTGTCTCAGGAGCAGTTCAATCGGTTGATGTTTTGTGAGGTGCACTTGCTTCCTGGACGTGATGAAGAGGTTCGGCAACAGTTGACTAAGGACAAGTGGCGTACGGTTAGTACTCCAGCCAGACCTTCGGGCCGTTCGGTTGGGGGCAGTTCGGGGGGGCGAAGCTAT